ACAACCCCTTCTTGTACTTCATTCTCTTCTAGTCTACGCCTCTTCTCTCTCGACACTTTTCTTCTTCCCTAGCCAAACCCCGGCCGCCATTTCATGGCGGCCTTCTTCATTACTTGTTAGCTCGCATTCGAACATGGTTTCAGAGCAGGCCGTCCGTCCCGGGCCTGCTCACTACGTTTCCGCTGCGCACTCCTGCGTTCGCCGCCTTAGCGGCTTTCTGCCTGCCTGCCGCCGTGGCATCAAGATGTCGCGGCGGCCACTTGATGCTGCCGTCCCAACTTCGACGAGCAGCTGCGGCTCCGACGCCACGCTGCTGCGGCGTCATTCTGGTGCCGCGGCGGTGTCGTCGAGCTGCAGCTGCCGAGTTTCACCTCCGCAGCTGCTGGACGTGCAGCGCGCCAGCCCGCCAGTAAGCGCCGCGCCTATGGCGCCGCGTTGAAGTCCAGCAGCCCCACCACCTCTCCCTCCCCTGCATCTCCTCCTGCTCCTGCTGTAGCTGCTGTCTTCGGTTCGGTCGTCGCCAGCCCGTGCCACACCGCCGAGAGCCCTCAGCCGCCGCAGTCGCCGCCTGTCCTCATCGACACAGCCGCCTTGAGCACGAGCTCCGCCGCTGTCGTCATTGAGGCCGGCCAGATGCGGCCAGCTCCCTCTCGTCCGGGCAGGGCTTCTGATTGGATTTTGAGGGGCTGTTGGCTCAGGGTGCCCCCAGCAGGAACCCCCATTTTTCAGGGTCTGGTTTTGAAAGATGCATATTTTTTCAGGGTAAAAAGTTTCGAAGGCTGAAAGTTCAGGACTAAAGATTTACAGGCCTGACATGTTAGTGTTGAACTTCTGCATTTTTTTTGGGTGGGTTTGCTTTTGACCTAGCACAATGTGTTAGACTGAACGTTGACTTGTTTGTTTCAATGTTTTCATGGTATACACTTGGTAGTTTAACAATTTTAGAAAAGCACAGCCAATGGTGCTGCTGTTGCTGCCTTTTGTGTTGACTTACTGCCGCATACTACTACTACTGATGCTGCCAGCCACTCTTGCTGCTAGAACTCTTACTGCTCTTCCTGCTGCACCCAACTGCTCCATGTGCTGCCGCTGCTGCTGCCGGTGTTGGTGTTGTTTGCAGCTGACGCTGCTCCTGCTGCTGCTGTTGCTGCTGCTGCTGCTGCTGCTGCTGCTGCTGCTGCTGCTGCTGCTGCTGCTGCTGCTGCTGCTGCTGCTGCTGCTTTGTGCTGGTCCACCTGCTACTCCTCGTCTTCCTCTGACTCACTTCCGCCGCTGCTGCACTCCTCCTCACCCTCTGATGCATACCAGAAATCCTCATCGACCTCTCCTCCACCAACCCCCCTCCTCTCCCTCCTTGTTCCCCTCCTCCAGCTCCTCTTCCACCTCCTCCTCTGGCCCCTCATCCAACTCCTCCCTGGCCCCTCCACCACCTTTTCTTTCCCCTTCAAGCTCTTCACCCGACCTCGGGGGTGGATGCGGGTGGAGAACTGCTTCCGCTTCTTCCCTCAAAACACCTTCACCACCTCCTCCCAATCAGGCTCGTAGTCGAGCAACGCCATGCTCATGAGGCTTTCGAGCGTGGCGTTTCCTAGGCTGCCTCGGCACCAGCTCTTGATGATGTTCTGCCGACTGAAGCCGCGCTCACACTCCACCGTAGATAGTGGCAGCACTGCGACCGCGACCCAGAGGCGGCCCAGGTTCGGGAAGGCTTTTGTCCAGTCATCCGACTTCAGCATCGCCGCCAGCCCCTCGTAGAACTTCTGCTCCCCCACGGGAGCATCTTTTAATAGGGAGATGAGAGTCTGCAGCTCCCTGGTTGCCGCCCTCTTGTTAACACCTGCACAGAATCACAGGGCGCAAGGGGAGGAGAATGTGTGGTATAGATGCAGGCCGTTAGTATGGGGATAAGGATGACACGCAGGCATGATGCATGGTTACAGCTGGGTTCATGCACGGTTAGCAACGGCTTACCTGGCAGAACCTCCCGACGCCCGGCTGCGCGGAAGAGGTCGAACAAGCTCTGTAGCCAGTCCATGCACTGGCTGTTCCGCTCCTTCCTCCCTGGCGGCCATGCTTCCGGGGTGAAGAGCCTGCACCCGTTGAGCTTCTCCAGGTCGCCCAGCCGCTCAACAATGTTCTGCTCGGTCGCCTTGGCGAATCTCATGCAGATGCTGCTACACTCGTCGTGGTCCTCGCCAGGGCGCTCGTCGTGCATGTCAAACTTGTGCACGATTGATGTGCTGTCGGACTTGCATCCCTCAATGGTGACGGTGCGGCTGGTGCGGTGCGCTTCGATGAATGCAGTGAGGAGTGGCGAGTTGCCACCCCCGAAGGTGCTGCCGCACTCGACGTACCACTGCTTGATGTAGACGACGGTCCTCCGAATAAGGCCCTGGACGACCGTCAACTCGACCTGTGGTAGGAGAGGGCTTGGGCAGATAGCTCAGGGAGACACACGATTAGACAAACATAATAGGACCATGCAAGGAACCAACCTGGCGGGCTTGGAATTTTTTGTTGAGGCTGTTCAGTAAGCCAAGCATGTCAGCCAGAAAGTAGAGGAAAAGGTGAAACTTGTAGCTTTTTACGATGTTGTACATCTCCTGGTCATACTCAAGAAGTAGAATGACCACAGCTGGTAGCACGTCGACGAGGCGGGCGATCGCCTCACCTCGAGATAGCCAGCGTATATTGAAAATACCCTGCATCTCGAGGTTCGTCTGGGTGAAGACGTCTTGGAGGTTTTTGAAGCGTGCGTGCCAGTTTCCAGAGCGACCCAGCAACTCAGCAACGGTCCGGATGAGCTTGTCGATCACTGGTAGCTCTGGAACGATGGTTGCAGCATCCTTCGCAGCTAGGGCCTCCCTGCGTACACAGCAGAAACAGCAGAAGCATCAGCGTTGTGATCAGACAGTAGCTGGAGAGGCACAGCGAGTACAGACACCAGAGTCGTCAGAAGTCATGGTCGGGTAACGGGAAGTGAGAGGCAAACACATGCACCGTGGCTCACCTGTGATGCAGTGGCAGGACACCAGCCACGGTGACATGGCACGCATGCGAGTGACGAGGCCAGTGTTGGAGCCCATCATGACAGCAGCCCCATCCGTGCTGATGCCGGCAATCTTGTCGGGGTGCACGCCAATCTTGGCTAGATGTTCCTGAATGAGAGCATGAATAGATGCTGCATCGCACTGTCCCAGTGCTAGCAAGGCATTGAACTCAGTCACAACATGCCCATCACGCAGAAATGTTACAAACAGAATCAAGTGTTTCCCTCGAGTGCGGTCAGTCGACTCGTCGCAACTCAGCCCAATGAAGGGACTCGCGTGAATGTGGCGTAGCTGAGAAGCATGAAGCATCAGTTGCGCGAAGCCGTACCTGCATGGGGTGTAGAGCTCACCACGTGAGACAAGGCATTCGTAGGCATAAGTGAGGAGCGGGCAAAAACATTCACGTCCTAAACTCACGAGGTGTAGTAGGTTCCGTAGCTCTTTTTTGGAAAGCCGGGGCACTTCCGCTTCGCTAGGAAGCGGACGAGCTTCACCCAAGTGTTGATCGGCGCATCGCACTGGCAGATGAAATGCAGGACCCACAGCATCGCGATGAGTCGTCCCTTCTCGAGATCTTGGGCCTGTGGGAAGTCTGATATCTTCTTCTGCTTCTGAGCGTCTTCCATGGCCTTCCTCTTCGCCTTGATGCATGCCTTGTGCCGTGTTGACCGGCCATGCCTCTTCATAGCCTGTGTCTGCACGTCAACTGCGCCCTCCCCATCTCGACCATATTTGGTGCCCAAGACGCCATGATCTGTACACACACTACATCGCAGGGATGGAAGGCCATTTTTAGTACGACATAGGAGCAACCTTGGAAACCGCTCTTGCCAGTCTGACTTGAAATTTTGCAGAGCTTGAAGATACAACAAGTCTGCAGCCTCTCCAAATTCCTCATCAGCGGTGGCTGACGACTGGATGCGCGACTCCAGTGGTGTCGCAGTAGAAGGGCCGACCACTGGAGTCGCACTCGTTGGCGTAGTTGACGCAGCACCGCCTGCCGACTGCTCGGCATGCCGTGTTGTCGTTGCCGGAGAGGCTGCATCCACCGGTGGAGCACGTGACGGCTTGTGCCTCCGTGATTGAACGGTGGCACGAGCTGTGGCAAACGTGATGGCGGCAGGATGTTTGTCGACGGTCGTTGGAAGCCGAAACGATAGCAACGCTTGACGGTACGTTCGTTTCGGAGGAGAATTAGGCGCACCGCGATCTGCTCCACTACCGCCATCATCGGCCGCTCCGACCGCCTGCCCTGCGTCGCCTTCTGGGCTGCGAGGGTGGGGCGACACACGGCCAGCATCACCGCACGGGCTGCGTGGGATCGGGGAGAATTGCGGAGCGTCATGAGCCGGCGAGCGGGGCAGCGACGACGAGCCAGCGTCGTCACGCGCAGGGCTGCGCACAAGCGTGAACCCACGTGCAGCCTCGGCAGAAGGGATGCAAATGCACGGAGACATCGCAAAAAAGGTGTGCTCGCAAAACGTTCGCGAATTATCTGTGCGGATGCTTTGCAAACGTTTTGCGAACAAGTGGGTGTAAATACCGTGCGGACTAAGATTCGAACACTTTGCGAATGCTTGGACAACATTTGCCAAAACACTCCGCGCGAGCATTCGGAAACGATGGGCGGTGTTGTCTCGAATGCAATATAGTGTTTCGTCAAATGCATTGCAATGCATATTTTGATGCTGCTTTGGATTTGTATGAAAATAATTTTGCATTCTTGCCATCCATTCTTTTTGTTCTGTTGACCATTGGTGTATCAAATGATGTTATTCATAAAAGTAAATGTACCACCATTACAAACGATATACACAATTTCTACCAGTGGTTACCAACCTAATTACCTAGAAATATGCAAGCCCCCAACAACCTAATAACGTATGCAGCATGCCCGTCCCGCACTACCACGAACAGAAACAGAGCGGCGGCACACCAACGACGTTGCCGACAACGTAAATTCTTGACGCCGACTTGCTATTCCTGCATGTGAAGTAAGAATTCATTTCAAAGTAAGCCCAATGTCCAAATTACCAACATAATAACAATTCTTACTCTGGGAAAGTAGCGCGGCCTTGGTAATAAATTCCTGCGCATCAGGTTCAACCATTTGTTAAATTCCAAACAACCAGACTTTCAACACGAGGCTTACGAGGGGTGCCTCGAGGTTGGCTACAAATCTCTGCACGTCAGCTTAGACATTGTCGTGAAATTAGTCCGACGAATAAACGATTGGCGAGACTAAGAGACGTGCTTACCGGAAGAATAATCTTTATGCTGGACTGAGTTACATGGCTAGCTGCGATAAAGACGAGCATCGTGAGCACACAGGCAAAACATAGTTAGATAGAAACTCCAGTTAACAAATGCCTTCAACCCCGAAGACGTATTAGCTCATGAACCTGCCAATAAGAAGGACAATTGTGAACAACAATAGCCACTTACAAGCTAATTAGTACCAGAAGATTAAAACGATAGAAATAACAGCTATCGCGAAATGACATACTCATGTTATCGTAAACCAAGAACGACCATGGTAACTGGTTAAAGTCTGGCAGAGGAAGAAGCTAATCACTAAGGGGGTGCGAAGGCAAGAGGGGGGGCTGAAACTGATACAGATTGAACTGCCGATGAATAATACTGTAAGAAAAGTCTAGCTGAAAGACATCAGTGGGCGCAAGGGGGCAGATAAGGAAGGATCAGAAGTCTGTGCTGGCAAGGATTGCTGGCATGTGAAGTGTGCAACGTGGTGGGCTGGGTGGTTGGGGCGAGCAGGGGGTTGAGCTGGATTTAGCCGTGCTGGAATCGCTCGGCCGATTTCGATTGGTTGGGCGAGGTGCATGGGCTGAGTTGGTTAGGGAAATTGGGTTGGGATTGGTTGGAACAAAGTGCAGGTATGGTAGGGGGTGGGAGTGTGGTTGGGGCGTGTTTCTATATGCACGTCATGTTGTGAATCGGGGCGTGTTTCCATGTACACAAATATTAAGCAAATATTTCTGGATTTCAGGTTACGCGCGCGCTAGAATACGCTGTAATTTGCGATTCAATTTGGTTCAGTTCGGTATCTCAAAATTTTGTCTAGCTGGATTGGAACCGCGATTCTGTTGGACTACGACCTTATAAGCAGTTGGAAGCAGGGTAGTGAAACCAGCAACAAAACCAATTTTAAATATTACATTTTAAAACATTTAAATATAAAGTAGATACGCACTGCAGATAGTAAGTCATAATCTACACATGTGAAGAGTCGGGTTCGATCCCTGGGAGAACCTCGTTTTTGAGTAATTTTTGCACGTAGCACAGTTGGAAGATCCGAGTTCGAATCTTGAGGGGAACAAAATAAAACTATCTCTTGAAGAGATCAATACCTTACTTTGCACTTGCTGTTTCTACAAAGACATTGCCCAAATTAGAAGTAGTAGTACGTTTACTATCATAAAAATATCATAAACACACAATTCGTTTATTTTAACATTTCAGCTTCCCCGGATCGATGTTATAAACTTTGTACAAGTTTTAGTGTAGACTGACCGATTCTGTATGGAAATATAAGCCATCAGAACAAGATTATTATCAAGGTGTAACATTTACAAAACAACTCATTCGCGAAACAACTCATTCGCGGAAGACTCGCAAACCATTTACGTTAAACGAAACAGGAAAAAAACACTTGGCGAACACCTGGCGGACGATTTCCGACTATGCGGCCAGCTTCGAATGGCGTAAACGATCCGCTAACGTTGCACTTTTTGCGATGGAGGAGACTGAAGCCACCATCGGCGGGCTGGATATGCGAGGAGAAGAGCGCATAGACTCGCGTGCAGGACTGCGCACGACGGGTGACGCGCGGCCAGTGTTAATCGCGGGGCTCTGAGGCGTAGTAGACGCAACAGCAGATCTACGCTGCGGACTGCTAGGCAGGGGAGGGAAAGGGTCGATACGAGTATCGGCGACACTCCACACGGCGCCCTGCCTTGCAAGACGCACAAGAACATCCAGCGCTGACTGTGTTACAGGCAGGGCACTGGCTTGCCCTGCGGCCTCCTTGCTGCTGCGCCGTTTTGAGCCTTGCACCTGCCATCCCTCATCGTCGCTCATGGCATGAGATGGTGAGTGAGAGATAGTCGAGCAGGTGGTGAAGAGAGACGTCACAGAGCAGCTAGCGAAGGTGGGGCGAAAAAAATGAGTGAGCTACAAGCCTTTTACTACGTTTGCCCGCCCCGCAAGAAAGCGATGTACCAGGAGGAGCATGCTCGACTGGGACGACGAGGGGTTGAGTGGTGGTCGCACGCACCACGCGATACAGTGTGGCAGCGTGCATGCCAGCTTGATCGAAAGATGGGTGCATCGTCGTCGGCCTGGCAGGTAGCGGGTGCCCAGTAGTAGCACGACACGACCCCCGATTGGTTGGTAAACCCCTGACTTCGCCCTAGACCAATCCTGCTCCTAACAGCTGTTCCAGCACACCCTCTGCTCCACGAAGCTGCTTGTAATTTTGACTAAGGACCAATCACCAGCCTCCTCTCACGTGCTCTTTGACGAGGGATGTGTTTTTGGTAAAGGACCAATTACGCCCCTCACACGTGCTCCATAACACACCCCATTCCAGCCGCGATTGTCGGGGGGGGGGGGGGGGGGGTTACCGAAAAGACTTTGTTTCAGGCTGAAAATCCGTTAAGGCTAATAATTCAGGGTGACCAAAACAAGAACATACTAAAATTCAGGCCTGCTCAAATGAGAACCCCTAAAATTCAGGCCAAGGGAAAATCAAAAGCTGAAAAAACAGGACGACCCTAAAAAAACACCCTGATATACAGCATTTCAGGGCATTTTGTCCTGACTTCTGAAGCCCTGCGTCCGGGGGTGTCATCGCCTAGCACGAGGGGTCGATACCCGGCTGCTCACGAGAATGAGGGTGTCCGGGGTTAGGGGGTGTGTGTGTGGGTTGGGTGGGCGTGCCACTACCAAGCCTAGGGGGTGTGCTAAAATTATATTTTATATAAGTTTAGGCTTGGTAGTTATGCTATTAACTGCATCCTACTGTAGGGGGGACAACCCCCTTCTTGTACTTCATTCTCTTCTAGTCTACGCCTCTTCTCTCTCGACACTTTTCTTCTTCCCTAGCTAAACCCCGGCCGCCATTTCATGGCAGCCTTCTTCATTACTTGTTAGCTCGCATTCGAACATAGCCCTCTGTACCAGCTCCTTGCAAGAGTACACTATACCACATCCAATTCCACTGAAGCCAATCATGTGAACAACAACAGCAATGCGAGTTATGGCCCAAGAGGTCACCCATATATCTCCGGTGGTGCAATCACCTGCGAAATTATCTGAGCAGGTCAATGTCAATGTTTACCGGTACCTCCCTCGCATCATCTCATAAAAAAACATTGCATAGACCTTAGGACGAGAGATTCCAACAAGCACCCTCCCACAATCCCATCCTAACCGAGCCATTCCCACCAAATTTTTATGTTCCCAGTGGTTTATCATCCACACATACACTGTCCAGGTTGGGAATCTCGGGATAAAGTTTGTCTTGATCCTCAAATCTTGAGGCTGGTGAGGCTGGTCATGGACTCGGCCAAAAACTTCAGATCAGGACAGAAAATCAGAGTCAGCCGCTGCAGCCGTGAAAGGTTTTCAATCTCGTCAGGAAGAGTTGTTAGGCGGGTAATGCCGAACAAGCGGAGCGAGGAGAGGTTCGCGAGCTGGCAGAGAGATGACATGAAGGTGTCGACAACAAGTCTTGCTTCTTCATCCCCGTTAAAGAACATGCAGCTGACTGGCCAACCGAACTCGAGGGTCGTCAGGTTGCTCCAATGCTGAAACAGGGATGGAGGGACTCTGGATATGCTGTCGCAGTAGTTGAAGGAGAAGGTTCGGAGATTGGAGAGCCTGGACATTGTATCAGGAAGGTGAGTAAGGCTGCTGAGCTGGCACAGCTCCAGATGCTCCAGCGACGACATGCGGTCCATTCTCTGTGGAAAGTCACTGAGCTCTGTGCAACGCTTAACAATCAAGACACGGGGGTTAGGAAGATCACAGAGGGAGTCTGAAAGCAAAATGAAACTACCGCAATACTTGATGGTTAGCATCTCTGGGAAACGAGGCCAGACACTGCGTTTGGGAGGCCTTCAAATAGGTCACAATTCACGAGCTTTAGAACTCGCAGAGCTGTGAGCTGAAAGAAGGAATCTGGGAGTTGGACGAGGAAGATGTTGCAGTCAAGTAGGAACTCTTGGAGCCTTGGAAGCTGGCCGATGGTGGCAGGAAGAGCGTTCAGCGTATCCGTCCTTCAAATGCTGAGCTTGACCAGTGACTAAAGGCCACCGAAGGAGTCAGGCAGAGTTCCGAGGACCTGGAAATTTCGACAGTTGCATCTCGGTCAGTCCGGTAAGCTTGCCAATTGAGTCCAGGAGGTCTTCGATATCCAGAGCATTGAGTGTCAGCTTAGTCAGGGAACTAAGCTTGCCGAATTTATTAGGCAAGCCTTCGAAGTCCACGTGCAGATTGGCCTCCGTCAAGGATGATAAATTGAAGTAGGATGACAGCACGTCGCAAGTAAAATCTCCATGGTATCCTGTGAACATGGCGAGGGAGAGATACTCTAACCCCGTGCAGGTCTTGAGGAGTGCATCTGCAACTTCATACTTCAAGGTGCTCTTAAAATCGTTATGCAGGTCATGGGAGTGCATCAATGGTCTCTCCACCACATGTCCATGAGCTTCGGTGTCTCATCTGCATGTCTTCCTCGTTTTCAGACTCTGGGGTTGTCACCTCGAAATCATACACCAGCGTCTCAAACATGATGTGTACACCAATAAGTGTGTCGTATACTTTCCCTCTGATTTCACTATTTCTCTTCAGCTTTCTGATTGCTATCAATTCCTACTGAGTGTTAAAATTATAATATTGAGTTATATAATTGTTAGGCTTGGTAGGTTACCGAACTTTACTGTAGAGGGTACAATCCCCTCCTTGTATGCCTTTCTCTTTCTATTCCAACTCCCTTTTCTCTCCTCAACTTTTCTCCTTCCTAAACCTCACGCCACTCTATGGCTCCTCCTAGCTAAACCTCATGCCTTTCCTAGCTTCCTAGCTAAGCTAGCCTTTTAACATGGTACTAGTGCAGGAGTTCCTCCCTACTGGACCGCCTCCTCACGCTTCTGCCGCGTACTCCTTGCCCTCGTTCGCTCGCGTGGCCATGGCGGCCGCGTTGTGCTGCAGTGGCGGCGTCGTGATGCCGCTGGCCGCGTCGTGCCGCTGCCGTCTCGACGCGCTGCCGTGGCGTCAGGCCGCCGTGCTGCCGTCGTAGCGTCGACGTCCCGCAGCAGCGTCGACGCCGCTCTGTGACGGCGGCGTCGGGCTGCAACCGGCCGCGCGACGCCTGTGGCGCCGCTAAACTGCCCACCCGCACGCCAGCCGGCCGCGCGACGCCTGTGGCGCCGCGCTGAAGATCCGAAGCCCCGCCCCTTCCCCCGTTCCTCTGTCCCCTCCTCTTCGCCACAGCCGCCGCCTGACTCTCGCCAGTCGTCCCCCTGTCGCGGAGTTTGGACACGCCGCCGGAAGGGCGGGGGCCGCTGCACTCACCGCCGTCGTAAGCCGAAGCCGTCGCCATCGCCGCTGTCGTCACCGCAGGCTTTTTGCCGCCGCACGCCCGTCGTCGTCGTCGCTGTCGCCGCGGCCGGGACTGCCGCCGTCGCCATCTCCAAGGCCTTGTGGGCCCTGTTGGAGTCGTTGTGGCTGATGGGAATGGGGGTGCTAGGTTAGGGGGTGTGGGGGTGTGTGTGGGCGTGTGACTACCAAGCCTAGGGGGCGTGTTAAAATTATATATTGAGTTATATAATTGTTAGGCTTGATAGGTTACCGAACTTTACTGTAGAGGGTACAATCCCCTCCTTGTATGCCTCTCTCTTTCTATTCCAACTCCCTTTTTCTCTCCTCAACTTTTCTCCTTCCTAAACCTCACGCCACTCCATGGCTCCTCCTAGCTAAACCTCATGCCTTTCCTAGCTTCCTAGCTAAGCTAGCCTTTTAACCCCGAGAGCTTAAGGTTAAGGGTACTCCTGCATGCATTCCTTCTTTCACGTTCTAGACTCCATGCTAACAAATATATTTTTTTCTACCTGGTTCAACCCTCTGCCTGAGCGTGACCAGTGTTAACTGAACATCAGCCACCACGCCTATCCCAGCTCATTCCCTCAGCCAAACATCCCCCACGCACCAATTTCCAGGCCCCGTCCACTCATTTACTGATGAGAAAATATAAAGCAATATTTACACAGGGAATACATTATTGACATTACCATACAGTCCAGATGTCTGCATCAAACAAGATGCCTACGTCAATATCTGTCTGGTTTATTCACGCTGCTTTTCATTGTCCTTCTCTGCAGTCTGTTTGTTACCACTTCCATTATGCTTTCCTCCTGCTTGCTGGGCTGCTCTCTGATTCTGAGTTCATGCAGAATATTTCATTGAGTCAATCATGACCACTTGCAGTGCCTCAGAAGTCAGGCCAAAAAGGCCTGAAAGCCTGTATATCAAGGTGTTTTCTAGGGCATACCCTGATTTTTCAGGTTTTGATTTTTGTCAAACCTGAAATTTATGTGTTCCCATTTTCTAAGGTCTGAAAAATAGTATGTTCTTGTTTTACCGAGCTTGACAAATCAGCCTTACTCGAAATTCGCCCTGAATCTGAATCTTATCTGCCAAGGTGAGCTAGAGCACGTGTGAGGGGC